ATAAAAGCTACAAGAAGACGATAGGATCAAGAGAAGGATTTTACGGAGACTTGAGAAAGTTTAGATGGAGGGTAAGCTAGTATAGAGAAATGTTGAAGAGAGCAAAGACCTTCAGGAGAGAGCATCATTATCCAGAGTACTTGAAAAGGGTTCTAGTCAGGAAGAGTACAGCATCCTTAGATTGAAGGAGGGAGCAGATGAGAAGATTGAATCACTGAAGAATATACATTTTCTACAGATTTCCTGTCTGACCTCAATTGAAGCCTGATATTATTTAGAAGAAACCATTTTCTCCCTTGAATTGGAAACAGCTTATTTGATGATGCAGGATTTGGAGTATTTAAGCTCATCACAGGATAGATTACTTTTGATCTTTCTAAGCCCTAGTGCTATCAGATATCCAGAATCCAAACTGATTTTAGTTCTGTGTTGTACTGCTTCCCTGCACGTGTAAGATCTATGAAATCCAACCCGAAGTGACAGCACAAAGCAGAATAACTTTTCTGCCATTATCGAGGTGAATGGAAAATATTTTTTAAACAACCTTTACTCAAAGCCTCAAAGTTTAATTACATCTAAAATTGAGCCTTCTGGGCTCAAGCTATGTTAACTTATATTTTTTGTTTTTAACCAGCTCAATTCTTTGAGACTTCCAGTATGCATATAGGGTAACACAATTTAATACCTGCACCTCTGAGGTATTAATAAGTGAGGAATTAAACACTTTTTCTTGTCAAATCCGAGAAACTAGTCCTGGTGATTTTGAAATGGGGAAACCTTTGCCAAAGAGGTTAGACTCTTCCTGATATGACTGAGTCCTTTGAATTAGAGGTGAACTATTATGTTTCATGTAACATTTTGGAAATAATTTTTAGCTTATGTACTCATTTTGGGAAGTCTTTGTTCTGTATGTATATATCAGGGATAACTTTGAAATATTTGCAACCACCTCAAAGGCTCTCTTTTCCTTAGAAGTTTAAAATTTTAGACTCATCCATTGTTTGTAGAAATATAAGTTGGAATAACCTCAGGAGTTATTCCAACATCTAGCAAACATCTAGCAAAATTTAAAAACACTGGTCCAGAAATTAATAGAAATATATCCAATAAGCCAGGCCAAATATATATGTATTAGGTATTGGCATATATATGCAGTGATGTATCAACGAAGATATTTGTTGTAATGGTGTATATAATATCCATATGTCTTTATCCATATGACACATGCAGCCATTAAAAGGAGGGGGTCTGTCCTGGGACATTTTTTAAGATGAATTAAGGTTTGATAATTATCAGAGCTCTTCTATAAAAAGCAGATCATTTGCATAAGAAATTGCTAACAGTAAGGAGGGAGTTTGGTTGCCTGGGGACAAAAACAGGAAAGGAAACTTTGTTGTATACTATTTTCATCAAAATTTTATACTACATGATGTTACAATTCAAATAAACTTGTTTATTTTTAAGAAATCCATAATGACTCATTATCTTTAAGACTTTCTCAAGATTATTTTGTAATGAGCTATTGAGTAGGCAAAGGAGATCTGATTTTCAGGTAACTTATTCATGGAACCACAGAATGATTTAACAAGGTGACACTACATTATTATGTGATTATATTCAAAATAAACCAGAACTTTTCTAAATCATTTATGATACATAGTTTGAGTAATTGTAACTGGTGATTATTACATAACATTCAGTTCTCACTGACATTAGATTCATCTGCCCATGCCATCTTTTTTTTTTAGAAATGTATCCATGGGTAAAAACTGTTTCGAAAGCATAAATAATAAAACAACAACTCACCCACCGTACATTAAAAACAACAGTATATCTGTAACTCCATACTTTGGCATGTTGGAGTGTTAAGTAATTTTAGAGAAAACCTCGAAATAACCTATTAAATGACAAATTATTTCTGACACCTTATAACTGATTGTGACCCACCATTATGCCATGAAAAGGTGAAAATCTCCGGGTGTGTTGCTGGGCCATCATGCTGGCATTTTCTGATTTCTGTTAATAATAATAAAGTTAACAAAAAAAGCTTTAGAGAAAATAAAAACTAGTGAAATTGGCAACTAATACAGAAATTTGCCAAGTATCATAAAAAGCCACATAAGCTTAAAATTTTTTTTTAAATAAACAAGATTAAAATACTCTGAACAATAAGACTGGGGTAATTACAAAGAATATTTTGTAAAGAAGTCAATCTGTAGTTCTCTTGCTGGACAGAGAATGTTTACCTCACACTAGAAACCAGAGCCTCCAGCCAAGCAATGAAGATCATTTACTCTTGAGACTGTCAGACCATCAATATTAGCTATCCTTTTTCCCAATGATAATTATCAAGGCCCTTGTCCATGGTCAGTCTGTTTGCAGCCCTCAATCACAGTGCACTTTAAGTTTTAAAAAAATTTTTAACATGGAAAAACAAAACAGTACAAAGAGTACTATATGTATATCAACAATTGTCAACATTTTGCCATGTTTGCTTGTCTAGTTTTCCCTAAAACCATTTAAACATACTTTACAGATATGACTATTCAGCACCAACTTTTTTGAGCATACATTTAAACATTTTTCCTGAATAATCACCATACTATTCTCACATCTATCAAAATGAACAATTTACCAAATTTCCCTAGCCCCTAAAATATATATTTAGTAGCTTATCTCAAAGATCTGATACAGAACGATAAGTTGAGTTTGGTTATTAATGTCTAGAGCAGTTTCTTCTTCGTTGAGCATATACATAATCTGACCCAACAATTTCACTCCTGGGTTTATAGCCAACACAATGCATACACCTATGTATTACTAGCGTGTTCATAACAGCACAATTTGCCATAGTCAAAAGCTGCAAACAACACAAAAGTTCCAATAGGAACTGATAAATTATGGTACGATTCTATGGTAGAATATAACAAATAAAATGAACAACATAGTCAAGAACATGGATAAATCTCACAAATATATTGATGAAAGGAGGTCAGACAATGTAATACATAGTAAAACTATATGTAAAGTTCAAAATAGTCATTAAACTTAAATCTATGATGATATAAGTCATTGTAGTGTTATCTTTGTGAAGATAGTGATTCATTGAGGGTGTAGTGATTGGGACACTCAAAAAGTAAGCCAGCTGTAATTATAAAGCCAGGATAAGAGTCATTTTCTTTTGTAACACTCTAGAATATCTTTGTTCTCAATGATTTTTTAAGAGTTCTAGGTCATATATGTTATCACATGAAAAGAAAAGTGAAATCATGAGATGAAGTAAATTATAAGATTGGGAATCACCTCCAAGTTAATTCATTTAAATGTAGTGGTTCTTATGCCTGGCTGCATATCAGAAGCACCCAAGGAACTTTAAAAAGCCAACAAACAAACCTGATTCCAAAGCCCTAACTCCAAAAATACAAAAGAGGTTGAGGCCTGGGCATTGCTATTTTAAAAATGATCCACTTTCATTGGAAGCAAGCTGAATATGTTTATTAAAGTGTTTTTCCATAACAAAAAAATAAAAATGATCACAACACATCACACCCATTAGGATGACTACTTTTAAACAAAACCCAGAAAATACCAAGTGTGTGGACGTGGAGAAAAGAACCCTGAGACTGCAAGTGGGAATGTAAAATGGCACTGCCACAATGGAAAACAGTTTGGGATTCCTCAAAAAAATTAAAAATAGAATTACCATATGACCTAGCAATTCCAATTCTGCACTTAAGGGAATATAGCCGTAAGAACTAAAAGCAGGATCTTAAATATTTGTACACCCATTTTCTCAACACTTCACAATAGCCAAGAGGTAGACCAAAGTGCCCATCAATGAATGGGTAAACCAAATATGGTATATACATATAGAGGAATATCACTGAACTTTATAAAATGAAGGAGATTCTGACATGTGTGCTACAATATGGATGAAACTTGAGAGCATTATGCTAAGATAAGGCAGTCACAAAATGACAAGTACTGTGTAATACTACTTATATGAGATACCTAGAATAGTCACAGAAACAGCAGATAGAATGGTGGTTGCCAGGGGCTGGGGAGAGGGGAGAATAAGAAATATAGAGTTTCAGTTTTGCAAGATGAAAAAGTTCTGGAGATTAGTATGCTCAAAAATATGAATATACTTAACACTACTGAACTGTATGCTTAAAAATGGTTCAGATGGTAAATTTTATATTTATATGTATTTTACCACTTAAAAAGATCCACAAGTGATTAATATGCAAAAAGTTGAGAACTAACACTGCTTTAATGCAAACAAGATATATTGATTAAATGTAACACTGATCTCTAAAAATGAATAATTTGATAATCATGCTTTTCATTTTGCTGATGTACTTGGTATTACCATTGTTCTTTCATCTTTAAAGTAATGCTATCTAGTTATGTTAGATGCTGTCTTTTTTAAATACTCGTGAAGTTTTAAAGTATTTTTTTAGTGTAGTAATATACACTAAAGAGTATTATTTTAATACGTCATATTTCTTATATTTGTCTTAAACCATTTTCAAATTAGCCAGAAAAAGCCTTTATTTTGCCTTTCTCCCTTCATCAAATTAATAATTGAAGACTAACTATATACTAATATTATCTTTAACATTCCCTGTTATTTTTTTAACCAGGAACTTAACAGACTTCCTACCAGACTTCAATTTGTGTTTTAGAAAGGCAGAAAGCAATACTGTGAAAGATTGAAATAACTTAAATCATCCAAAACTAAGGGAAACAATGAAACAACTTTTAGTACTTGTATAGAAAAAGGTTTGTATTTGTTTAAAAATTGGCATTTGGCTTTTTAAAACCCATGATGTGCTTGAAAATGTGATTTTCTTCAATAACACTTTTCAGTTCCTGTAGACACCATTTTAAAAGTACTTTGAAGATAACTCAGATCTTTTTTGTTTTGTTTTTGTTTTTTGTTTTAGGACATATACTTGTAGAAAACATTAGAATATCAGAATTTGAAGCAGTTAAGAATGTCTCTGCCAAGTAGACAAACAGCTATTGTTAACCCTCCACCACCAGAGTACATAAATACTAAGAAAAATGGGCGATTGACAAATCAACTACAGTATCTACAAAAAGTTGTTCTGAAGGCTTTATGGAAGCATAGTTTTTCCTGGCCTTTTCAGCAGCCTGTGGATGCAATGAAACTTAAATTGCCTGTAAGTGTGTCTTAAAATTATATTAGTTAAAGAAAAAGAAAACCCTGTAAAACTCTAAAAGAAATAAACTAATCTTTAATATTATAAAATATATTTAATAAACACCTAATTTATTCAGTACCACTAAAGAATATTCTAATGAGTATTTTTTCCTAAACAACAAAACTCATTCTTCTGAGGACTGAAATTCTTATTTTAACAGTATGTGGTAAATTGTGCTTTCTTATTATAGCTTATGTCACTTGACCTTTTAATGCAGGGTTGCCTGCCATGAATGTCACCTTCTCCATGAAGTCACTCTTGACACTTCCTGACAGACTTAGTTGCATCATACACAGAATTCAACTTTAGGTCTTAGGTTAGGTCTTAGCCATCTGATAACAGAATCACTAAGTAATTTGTAATATAGCTATTAAACCATCGAGTTAAATTGTACTCCAAATTCCATAAGTACTAGTTTATTTTTCTTCATATCCTTCATTTTTTATTTTCCAGGATGGTTCTATTCTTATAATCTTGTGTTTGTTTTCCTTCCTTCCTTCCTTCCTTCCTTCCTTCCTTCCTTCCTTCCTTCCTTATTTCTTTATTTCTTCTCCCTCCCTCCCTCCCTCTCTGAAAAATAATGCCGTGGTGTTCAGCTAGATTTCTCATTACTAATGATTTTAATTTCCAGATTATGGCTTTTGAAAGGTAACCAATTGTTCTCTCTAGTTACAGGTGTATAGTTTCTTAATTTTTTTGTGTGTGCCAATAGTTGTAGTGCATTCATTCTCAGTATTAACGTTTATAATGTCTTCTTGAAAACCATAGGATTATTATACCATTATAAAAAAACCAATGGATTTAAGTACAATTAAGAAGCGCTTGGAACATAAATATTATGTGCAGGCTTCAGAATGTATAGAAGACTTCAATATGATGTTCTCAAATTGCTATTTATACAACAAGGTATGTAAGCCTTATGTTATACTTGCTAATTCTTTGCTGTTATATATAGGAGATGTGTATAAACGAAAGTGCTGATTTCAGATTTCAAGTCTTAATTTGGAGTATTTTACATATTTCTAAGAATAATGTTTTTTCACCAAATTTCATAATTATCGTATGTCAATATTTATTCAATCTATTTGTTACATTTTTGCCTGAATAGCTATAATGACTTATTATGTTTTAGAAAATGTAATACCAATGATAGCTGGTTTCTGAGTAAAGTATCATTTCAAAATGTTCCCTACAGTACTTCTGCCATTTTAGTTATAAGATGATAAACCTATTACACACTAATCTTCCTTAGATCTTAAGAAGCCAAACAAATTACGTACTTCTAAACTATAAAACAAGCTAATGTAAAGATCAGACATATTTTCTGTTATATCCCAGTAGTAGTATTTGCATTTGTGCTAATGCATTAGCCTGTATGATAATGTATGTGGCCATTTTGAACATAATTTTCATATTTGCTTTCATCCAAAAAGTTGGATTTTAGTATTCAGTTTTTCTCCATATAATATTTCTTTTTCCAGGAATAATGCATCCTTTTCAGGCTCTTCTATGATATCTAAACATTTTAAAACTTATATCCCATTTATTTCTTTAGATCTCAAGGTAATTAATTTGATTTAGTTCCCAAGGTAATTAATCAGTGCCACTATATGTGTGTGTGGGTGCGTATACACACACCTATAATTTAAGACTATTAGCCAATGTGAATTTTTAAATAATCAGAACCAACGGTACTCTAAATGTACCATTGGCAGCTTCCTTCTAATTTAACAATTCCAAAGGGTCCTTTCACATTTGATATTTTAAAATAAAGTTCAGTAATTTTTCTGAACTACCTAATTTAGAAATGTGTTCTCTGCTTTACGCCTTTGCTTTGTAATTTACTTAGTTTTGTTTTTTGGTTTTTTTAGTAGTAAAGTAAAGCAAAGAAAGACTTCTAAGCAGATAGTTAAGATTTTAAAATTAAGTTAGTTCTATAGTGTCATTTTATAGCTTAGTTAACTGAAACTTGAATCAGATCAAATCAAACTATGAAGGTACTTTTCATAGCCATGAATAAGTTTTGTTTCAACCTATTTGTGAAGTAGAAAGTCTAATTTCTAATGCTTTTTGTTTTATAGTAGAATTGGTTGGATTATAACTCTTGAATTATAAACATTCTGAGTCCTTTTTAAAAGTTAAAGGGGTAGGATGCTAGAATTTAAAATGTGAGCTGCTTTACTGTTTTCTAAACTTAATTTAGAAGTGTTAAATACTGTTTAATAAATACTGTCTAAGAAGGACTATGTTATATGTTACTGTCTTCTGTAATATAGCCTGAATTATGGAAACTTGGTACAGTGACTATACTGTGTAAACTTATGGTATATTTTATATATTTTCTAGACTGGAGATGACATTGTTCTCATGGCACAAGCTCTAGAGAAGTTGTTTAGGCAGAAATTATCTCAAATGCCACAAGAAGAGCAAGTTGTGGGTGGTAAGGAAAGAATAAAGAAAGGTAAGCCAGAAAAGGTTTATGTTCTCTTTAATATATATATGAATGTGTATATATAAATATAATGGCTAGAACTAAATTATAAATCTCTCAAAGGAGACAGACATCCAGAAGACCTACATCCTATTCTATTGATATAAAGTGTCCATTTAAACAGTCTGCTGAACTTGAGCACAAGGATAGCTATCATGTAAGATTAGGGAAGATTGCATTGATTATGACCTTGGAGCCAGGTTTCTTGTAGTGTGGTTACATTCACATAATAGGCACCCAATAAATCATAGCTACTATTACTATTTTTAGTGGATCTTGTATCTGTGCTATACTAAATAAGAGGGTTAAAATTGCCAATGTTCTCTGTACCAGAAGATCACATAGCTAAGAAAGAAGTGTTACTGTTGGGTCTGAAGGTTCTCTCCTTTATAGTAACTTGAAAAAACTTTAGAGAGGAGTTTATGGTTATAATCATAATATTTAAATAAGGAATTACAAAATTATTCTTAAGTATTCAAATGGATTTTTTTGTAGAGGCTAACCAAGACTGTCATAGGTCAAATGTTGGTTTACTTTTGGACCATTCAAGCTGTAGAACCTTGGTTAAGCTCCTTTACCATTCCATGTTCATTTTCTCATCTGCAATGTCAGAAAAATATTTAGCTTTCATGGTTGTAAATGTATATAGTTAAGTGGCTGGAATATAGGAGACTTGTAGTGGGGTGATGGTAGAGGTTTTTTTTTTTTTAATTTTCATTGAATTTAGTTAAATTTTTTAAAAAGTTCACCCATTTCTCCCATCCTGCTTCTTAGAACCACCAATCTGCTCTTTGTATCTATGAACTCGTTTTTGTTTTGTTTTGTTTTGTTTTGTTTAGATTCCACATATATGAGAGATCATATGGAATTTGTCTTTCTCTGTCTGATTTCACTTAGCATAATGCTCTCAAGGTCCATCCATGTTATCACAAATGGCAAGACTTTATTCTTTTTTATAGCTGAATAATATTCCCTTGTGTATATATGTAGTACAATTTCCTTATTCATTCATTCATCGATGGAGACTTAGGTTGTTTCCGTATGTTGGATATTATAAATAATGCTTCAGTGAATGTAGAGGTGCATGTATCTTTTTGAATTAGTATTTTTGTTTTCTTTAGATAAGTATCCAGAAATGGAATTGCTAGATCATATGGTAGTTCTATTTTTAATTTTTTGAGAAACTTCCATGTTCTTTTCCGTATTGATTGCACCAACTTACATTCCCACTAATAGTGTATGAGGGTTCCTTTTCCTCCATATGCTTACTAACACTTGTTTCTTGTCTTTTTGATAATAGCCATTCTGACAGGCGTAAAGTGATATCTCACCGTGGTTTTGATTTGCTTTTCCCTGATGATTAATGACACTGAGCATCTTTTCATGTACCTGTTGGCCATCTGTATGTCTTCTTTGGAAAAATGTCTATTTGAACCTTCTGCCCATTTTCTCCCTCTTTAATTCCCTCATCCCAACTTCCACCCTTGACCCATGGATGTTGCCATTTCCCCTTAAGAACTGGATCTCTGAGGGTGGGGCAACCCCTCTCACACACTCACGGCGTGCATCTGGGGCCGGGCGCACTTAGGGCCTGGCACCCCCAGTGCACTCGAGGGGCCTGGTGCACCCAGGGTATGGTCCATGGCTCCACCTGGGGTGCGAAACCAGGACCTTCTGCATGCAAAGCAGACATGCTAACCACTACACTGTGAAGCCACCCCCATCTTCTGCCCATTTTTTAATTGGATTGTTTATTTTTACTATTGAGTTCTATAAGTTTTTTACATATATTTCCAATATTAGCCCCTTATCAGATATATGATTTGCAGTTATTTTCTCCCATTCAGTAGGTTGCCTTTTCATTGTTTGATGGCTTCCTTTTCTATGCAGGGGCTTTTTAGTTTGGTGTAGCCCCACTAGTTTAATTTTTCTTTTGTTGCTTTTGCTTTTTGTCAGATTCAAAAAATCATTGCCAAGACCTATGTCAAGGAGCTTTTCACCTATTTTCTTCTAGGAGCTTTATTGTTTTAGATCTTATATTCAAGTCTTTAATCCATTTTGAGTTAATTTTTGTGTATGGTGTAGGATAGTGGTCCAGTGACATTTTTTTTGCATGCAGCTCTCAAATTTTCTCAACGCCAGTTATTGAAGAGACTGTTTTTTCCCTATTGTATATTTTTGGCTCTCTGTCATAAATTAATTGACCATATATGCATGGGTTTATTTCTGGACTCTCTATTCCACTAATCTTTGTGTCTGTTTTTATGCTAGTAACTTACTGTTTTAATTACTGTGGCTTTGCAATATAGTTTGAAATGAAAGAGCATGAAGCCTCTAGCTTTCTTTTTATTTCTCAAGATTGCTTTTGTCAATTTTATCTTTTCAAAGAACCAGCTCTTATTTTCATTGATTTTTCTATTTTTTTTTTTAGTCTCTATGTCATTTATTTCTGCTCCAATATTTGTTATTTGCTTCCTTCTAAGTTTAAGCTTCCTTTGTTCTTTTTCCAGTTTCTTGAGTTGTAAAGTTAGATTGTTTAGGACTTTTCTTGTTTCTTGAGGGTAGGCATTTATTGCTATGAACTTCGCTCTTAGAACTGCTTTTGCTGCATCCCATAGATTTTGGTATTTTTCATATCAATTTTCATGTGTCTTAAGGGTTTTTTGATTTTTCTTTTGATTTCTTTTTTGATCCATTAGTTGTTCAGCAGTATATTGTTTAATCGCTACATATATGTGCATTTTCCAGTTTTCTAGTTTCATACCATTGTGGTTGGAAAAGATGTTTGATATGATTTCAATCCTCTTAAATTTATTAAGTTTTATTTTGTAGCTTAATACGTGATCTGTTTTTGGAAAATGTTCATGCGCACTTGAGAAGAATGTATTCCGTTGTTTTTGAATAGACAATTCCGTAAATATCTGTAAGTTCATTTGGTCTAACATCATTTAAGGCCGGTTTCCATATTTATTTTTTATCTGGATGGTCTGTCCATTGATATAAGTGGATTATTAAGGCCCTTACAATTATGGTATTGCTGTCTATTTCTCCCTTTATGTTTGTTAATATTTGCCTTATAGATTTAGGTGCTCCTATGTTGAGGGCATAAATATTTACAAATTCTGTTTTCTCTTTTATTCCTTTATCATATGTAATACCCTTCTTTGTTTCTTATTACAGTCTTTGCTTTAAATTTACATGTAGTTAGAAATAAAACTTATTAAAAATAATAAGACAATGTATTACAAATGGCAGGTGAAATTACACGTAGTATGTGGTATGGTTCAAAAGAGTGAGAATTTGATTTGTGCTGAAAAAGCTGGGGAAGGCTTTAGAGGTCATAGAATTTGAGTTTGGCCTTGAATGGAACGTAAGAATTGTCTTAGAAGTGAAGATCTAGGTTTGTACAATACTTTTTGTACAGAAGCATTCCACTGCTTGAGTTATGTCATCTTTATGCATAGTGGGAGGGAAACTGTCATATGATGGTAGTCTAAATAATGTGGTTACATTGGTACTTCTATGGCAAAGAAAAAATTAAATTTAGTGTGTTAAAATTGGTATTGATTTATTGATTCAACAAATGTTTGAGTACCTCTTATGTGCCATTGAGATATGTCAATGAACAAAACAAAAACTTTTGTCATCTTGGAGTTTACATTCTCGTAAGGAGAGAGAGACAAACAAACATGATAGGTTCAAAGTAGGTCTCACTGAGAAGTTGAGATTTGAACAAAGAACAACATTCCAGGCGGAGAGATCACTAATACAAAGGCCTATATAACAAGATGTTATAGCAAGTGGAGACCAAAACAGAGTCCCCTTCCCCTCACAGAGCTTTTTATCCTACTTGAGGAAATAGATAAAATTAAGTAATGCAAGTATTCCTTATTATGTATCTGTTTAGCTCCTGAGTTCAAAGAGCAACAGTTGGGAAGATATCAAAAGATGTGAGGATGTCTGAATCTTTTTGATTCCTAGGATTTAGTTAGTAAGTAGTGAGAACTTACTAACTAAAGATTGAGGCATACCAGCCCTATCTTAAAATATATTCAAATCTATCTAGTTCTTTAGTTTGTTTAGCAAGAATTTGGAGTCAAGGATACCTTTATACTGTATGTCAGATATGATAAAGGTGTGGTAAAAATAAGAATAAGAGAACTAGAAAGTGGTGGGAATAGAAAGAGAGGATTGTTTTATGTGGGCTGGCTTGAGAAAGTGACATTTGAGTAAAGGCATAAAGGATATGTTGGAAAACCATGAAGATATGTGCTTCTAGGCAGAGCAAACAGTCTGCTTATGCTTACCAAATTTGAGGACAGCAAGGCCAGTAGGTTGGAGTGAAATAAGTTGAGAGGTAGGGAGAGTGATAAGGAAATGAGGTTGGAAAGAAGGCAGATATAGTAGAAAAAAGGCAGAGAAATCATACAGGTATTTATAAGCCATTGTGAGGACTTTGGCTTTTACTTGGAGAGAAGATTAGAAGTCAGTGGGCATTGAGCAGAAGTGTCATAATCTGATTTGAATTTTAAAAGATCACTTTGATTATTTTGAGAATAGACTATAGGATGAAAAAGCAGAAGGAAAGCCTCTTAGGATGGTATTGCAATATTCCAGTTGAGAATTGATGATGCCCTGGACCAGGTTGATTGCTATTTGTAAGGAGTGTATAGCTGAATTTTAGATACAACAATAGAGCCAGAAGGGTTTGCTGAAGGATTGATACTGAGTTTGAGAGAAAATGGAGTCAAAGATGACTCCAAGTTTTTTGGCTGAGCAATTAGAATAATGGGGTTGCCTTGATAAAAGAATAGACTTTTGAAATAATAAATTTCAGAGTGATATGATCCAAATGTCATAGCATTCTCTGGGAATATATAGGACAGAACATGCATACTTGTTCTTTTGACAGAATCATCTGAGGGATATATTGGTAAGAGAAACACATTCACACCTGTGTCAACCAGTGATAGACTATCCGTAACAATATTGAAGCCCTTTGATATTTATAGAGTCTTCCGAAGACCTCATATGGTACTAGATAGTTTGTCTCCAGAGTGTCCGAAATTTTTGCTTATATCTACAGCTACCTGTTTGTTAGTCTGAGTTTAAGTTAGACATCTTTTTAAGTAAAATTGATAAAAGCCTACCATTAGTAACAGGTTTTAAAGTCTTCAATATTATATCTAAATTGGTCTAACACTATCAGCAAGTGTATGTGAAAGGATTTCAAAGGGGAATGGGAGTCTACCATGTTTATATTACTAAAAAACTGAACTAAATGAATTAAAATAGAATACTAAGAAAAGTGTGTTAGTTTTATATTTTACTCAAATATTGACTCTGGTTCACACTTTACTAGGCACTCAACAGAATGTAGCAGTTTCTTCTGTTAAAGAAAAACAGTCCCCTAAAGCATCAGAAAAAGTATTTAAGCAGCAAGTGATTTCCTCTTTATTTCCTGAAACATCTGTTTCTCCTTTAAATATGGCACATGGTGCTCCATTCAACTGTACCTCACAAACAGTTACCCAGGTAAGTTTACTGTAGCTTTAAAATATTTCAATGTAAGTTTGGTTGTTGTGATGTCTATACATTAAGTTGATATGAAAATTGGTCTTCAGCATACAGCAGTCAATCTTTTTGTCTATATACATTTTGTGAACAGAGACCTAGGATATGAACCAAATTTTAGATTACTTAGGTAGACTTTGAACTGGTTTATTATCTTTGTTTGTTTGTTTGTTTGTTTGTTTCTTTCTTTCTTTCTTTCTTTCTTTCTTTCTTTCTTTTTCTTTCTTTCTTTCTTTCTTTCTTTCTTTCTTTCTTTCGCAACTTGAGTCAAGTTCTGATACTTGGAGCCACAACTATCCTTTCTGACACAGGGTATTTATTTTTCTTTTTCTTTCTATTTTTTTGATCTTTTTTTTGGTGACGTAACTTGTATTGACTCACAATTTGGTGGGTCAACAATGTTTTAAATTTGTATAGCCTAGCTGATTTCAGCTATTCAGAAACTTTTTTTCGTATAACCATGCTGCTTTTTTTTCTTTTTCCTCATTGGGGTATGCAAGGAAAAGAAAATATTTGAACTATTTATTTTGCCTATAAAAGAGAAATTAACTATACAAATATTTAATATGTGGAAGACTTGGTGATAGTAATCCTTTCCTTTTTTTTTAAGCAATAAAAGTAATGATCAAAAAGCTTTGAAAACTGTTGCTCTGAATGTCACATTAATTGTAGTTTTTTGTTTTTGTTGAATTATTTGGGTTTAGGTTACAAGGGGCGTGAAGAGGAAAGCAGATACAACAACTCCTACGACTTCAGTAGTTAAAGCAAGTGGTGAATATTCCCCAGCACTTACAGAAAAAAAATCAGCAAAAATGCCACCTGTAAAAGAAACTGTGCTGAAGAATGTTTTGCCGGATCCTCAACAACAACATAAAGTTGTAAAGAGTGGTAAAGTAACTGAACAATTAAGGCACTGTAGTGAGATTCTTAAAGAAATGCTTGCAAAGAAACACTTTTCATATGCATGGCCCTTTTATAATCCTGTTGATGTTAATGCATTGGGACTCCATAACTACTATGATATTGTGAAAAATCCAATGGATCTTGGAACTATCAAGGTAAATGCTGTCTTAATAGAAGGGTCGCCTTTTATAAAAGTAATTATAAAAGTAATTTTGTCCTTGTAAAGAAATTTAAAATTCATAAAATGATGAAGAAGAAAATTAAAATCAGCAGTAGTCATACCACCTGGAGTGTATCATGGGGACATTTAAAAATGTGTCTTTTTATTTTCTTCAAACACATCCATGATTCTTTACCACAATATTTGAGTTACAGTATATAACTTTATACCATGAATTTTCACATAATATGTTGTGAACAATTTCTCATATATTCAAGAATATTTTTAATAAATACACACTTCTAATGTAAAAAACATTTTTTTAAAGACATTTATGCAGTTTCTAACCCTCTCTGTATTTTTGTTTGTTTTCTGCTGGATTGGTAAATTTTCTGATTTGGAAGCTTTACATTATTGGCAAAATTTATTTTTGTATGTTAACAGTAAAGGACACTTACAAAATTATTAGTCTTCCTAGTGAATGACTACACATTGTACTCCATATCCTTTTTTATTGTCTAAAAATTTGGCTCTTTTAAACAGTCTTGTTTTATTTTTTATCATTAACATTGTTTGTTAAAATGTTACTAATTTTTGTGCTCACTCTCATTTCTTTCATCTGACTTTTCCCCTTGTTTTGTTTTTCTTTTTGCTAAAGTACAAACTTTGTGGCTCTTCCATGAGCGCTTATGTGTCTATATTTCATCTTTATTCTCAACTTTGTTCTTGAATGATTCTTTAACTGACTGGAATTTTAGAATGACAGTTATTTTCCTTCAGAGCTAGGAAGATATCTTCTGGCAACTATTGTTGCTGATAAGAAGTCTGCTGTCAGTCTACTTCTTAGCCCTTTGTAGGTAATCTGTCATTCCTCTCTCTAGTTGTCCATTTAATTTTATTCACCTTGATTGGAAATTAGCCCTTTTGAGCTGAAGCTCATGTTTAAAGTTCTGAAAAAAAACTAACTATTATCTCTTCAAAATATGCTTTTCTACTTTTCCCTGTATACTAACAGACTGAGAGGTCATGAAATATTACCTGGACTAGGTATACCTAAACTGAATATTAAAGGGTAAATAGGATTTAGTAAGTTATAGGACATTCCAAGCTAGGGAAGCAACTTGGAAGGCCTTGAGGTGAGGAAAGTATACCCAGAATACTATATTTAGTCCAACATAGAACACGGAAAATTTGAAACAATGACTAGGGGAAAATTGAGACTGGAAGGAAATGGGCTTGAACATGCAAGACCCTAATTGTAAAGAGGCCAAGAGCTTCCATTAAACATGAAAATTATGTCCTCATATTTGATTCTTAGAATGATTTCACTAGCAGCAATGTGGAGACTGATTAGGAGACAGTCTCTGAAATCATTCCTAATTATGTTTTATGTTTTAGTTTGCATTACTTTAATTACAAATGAGAGGTCTGTCATGTTGCATTTGTTGGTTGGCCTTTTTTATTCGTTTATGAATTGTCCATCAATATACACGTTTCGCCCTGTGGTCTATAGCAGGAGTCCTTAACCCCTGGGCTGTGGACTGGTGCAGTCTGTGGTCTGTTAGGAACCAGGCTGCACAGCAGGGAGGTGAGCAGCCTGCTTGAGTGAAGCTTCATTTGCAGTAGCAACCAGTGCTAGCATCACTGCCTCAGCTCCACCTTAGATCATCTGGCATTAGATTCTCATGGGAGCACTGGTCCCTGGTGCCAAAAGGTTGGGGACCATTGGTCTATAGTATTTTCTTGACTGTTTGCTTGTTTTTCTTTTTATAGTGTTTGCCTAACTGGCTACTCTACATCCCATTTTTCTATCTGCTTTATATGCAGCTACCTAAAAATGTAACCTATGCTGATATTTCTTTTCTGTTCAGTTTTTAATGTTTTTTCTTTCCTAGGAGAATTGTAATATAAATCTTACATTTAGGTGTTCAGTGTTGGTTTGAGTTATCTTTTCATTGCGTTCCTATGATCATACTTGTCTGTCTAAGATTATCTGGAAATATCCTGTTTTCCTGCTTTTGTGATTTTGTTCCTGTTCTTTTTTTTACTTGGAATGCTTTCCTTTATCTCTATTTGTCAAAATTCATTAGACTATTTCAAAGTCTAAAAATATGAAACAGCAGAATTTTAACATTTGTCAAATCTGGATGATGGATATCTGTTTTGGTATTATTTATATTCTTCGGTATGTTTGAATTCATACTATAAACAATATAGGTGCTTAATTAATTATTAAACTATGTTGTTTGTGAATCCTGTATTTTTCCTTAATTTAGAGAAAAATGGACAACCAAGAATATAAGGATGCATATGAATTTGCTGCAGATGTTAGATTAATGTTCGTGAATTGCTACAAATACAATCCTCCAGATCATGAAGTAGTGGCAATGGCAAGAATGCTCCAGGTGTGCTCTGAAAGTGAATTTCCTCTGACCATAATTTAGAAATTTTATAACCATAATTCAAGAAATAAAGAATAACACTTCTCCCTCCAAGTAGTAAAGCACAATTTATAAATTATGCTCTTAAAATTGGGAGGGTGGGTATTTGTTTTTTGGAGATATAGCATCCTTTAGTACCAAATCTTTTAATGAAGCTACCCTGTATAAAGACGCTATTGAGAGAAAAATTAGTGAAGAGGGGACAGTAGATATCTAAGATAGGGTTAGCTGGAGCCCATGTCCCACTGAAGGGAAGACTCAAGGACTTTTGAGGCTGAGCCATTGGGAGGCAGTAAAATGATGCAGCAACCACAGGGCAGGAGATACTTGAAAGAAGGTCCACTGTATAACTTGAGAGGTCTGTCTTATCTGGAGAAAAGGAGAAAAAATGCTAAGGTTGGCAAGCAAGGAAGCATGAATCTTATTATATTTCTTCTGATAAATTTTTTTTTCTAGTTTCTGAGAGATATAATTGACATATAACATTGTACAAGTTTAAGGTGTACAACATAATACTTTGATATACGTATATATTAAAGAATAATTACCACAAGGAAAAATTGAATTGTTGTCAAAAGATGATTCTAAAATGTACCTTTTGTTAAAAGGTAATATTGCTACATTAAATAAAAAATGCAGAAATCACAGTCTAATTTTCCATTATAGGATGTTTTTGAAATGCACTTTGCAAAGATCCCAGATGAACCCATTGAGAATATGCCTGTGCGTAATATCAAAACAGATACCACAAAAACCCTTGGTAGAGAAAGCAGTAGTGAGGCTTCCTCTGAAGATAACTCTTCTGGTGATTCTGAAGATGAACGAGTTCAGCGTCTTGCAAAGCTTCAGGAACAGGTAGCTAATTGTATTATAAGTTTTTATATTCTTTCTATAAGCTGTTACTGCTGTTCTACTATAAAATCCTTTTTTTAGAGTAGAAGCTGTTGTGTTTAGATCACTTAGCAACATTAGCTTTATTTACACATTGGTACATTTATATTGTTTAATAGTCTTTCCTACTAAAAATTCTATATCCTAAAATTCTTTTATATTCCTAACCACAATAAATTGATTTGCATTGATTGAATATTTGCTACTTTTTGTGATAACATGTTAACCTAAGCTCAAGCTCGAAAAATCAACGATTAAAAACTTAGGAGTGCCTGGAAATGTTAATTATTCTTGGTCTGGGTTTAGATGAATACTTAAGTTTATAGGTTGAGCACATGATAGTGTTTGTAATTTAATGTATGCCCTTCAAAATAATGAATTTGCGAAATCAAATAAGCATCCGAAGGAAATGTAACATGAAATGAATTTCGCAAAGGATACTCTTGACTTTTAAGTGCATCGTTTTTTTTTAGTGTCTTTATTTGTTTAGAGCCATGATGTTTAAAGAATTTTTCCTTTATCAGCTTAAAGCTGTTCATCAACAACTACAGGTTCTGTCCCAAGTACCTTTTCATAAGCTGAAGAAAAAGAATGAGAAGTCTAAAAAGGAAAAGAAAAAAGAAAAGTTTAATAACAGTGATGAAAATCCAAGAAAAAAGTTTAAGCAAGCAAAATTAAAGCCCAAGAGCAAGTAAGTATCTTTTATGATGTCTTATTAAAATAACAATATTATTTAAAATAAATTCGACTAATTTAATTTCTGTTACAGTCAGCCAAAGAAGAGCATACAACAGCCCTTTGCTCTGAAATCTGAGGATGATAATGTTAAACCTATGAACTATGATGAGAAAAGGCAGTTGAGTTTGGATATAAACAAACTCCCTGGAGATAAACTTGGGAGAGTTGTTCATATAATACAATCAAGAGAGCCTTCACTGAGAAATTCCAACCCTGATGAGATAGAGATAGACTTTGAAACACTGAAAGCAACAACACTAAGAGAACTAGAAAAATATGTTGCTGCATGTCTAAGAAAAAGACCACTAAAACCTCAGGGTATGTATTTCTGTATGTTAGTAGAAATCGGTCTGGTATTCATTAGTTTTGAGTTATGTTCACTCTTTTTTTGTCCTAAATCACACAGGTAAGAAAATAACGAAGTCCAAAGAAGAACTTCATTCACAGAAAAAACAGGAGTTGGAAAAGCGGTTACTGGATGTCAATAATCAGTTAAATTCCAGAAAACGTCAAACAAAACGTAGGTGGCAGTTTTCAAATGTTCCTGTGAGTATTTAATTCTTCTGGCATTTTAATGTGTTTCCCTATTTTGTAGCTGAGAAAACTCAGTTATCCAAGGCTGTTGGAAGTGGTTCCCGATTGAGTGAAAGCAGCAGCAGCAGCAGTAGCTCATCAGAGTCTGAAAGTAGTAGCAGTGATTCAAGTTCTTCAGACAGCAGTGATTCCGAATCAGGTTAGCTGTCCCCTTAAGTTCACCTCTGTTTGCGGGAAAACATATCCTGTAATATTGAGATTTACATTTTGAAGAAATGTTTGTTACTTACCCATAACCTACAGCTTGGATGCCTCACTTATTATTTAATTGCATGTTGATGATCTCACTATTTTCCTTAAAAGAGATACTGTGTAAAATGAAACTTCATATTATATACATATGTCTCTTATAGGCTTGTAATGTCTAAAATAATTTTACTAAAGGTGAGATAGTCTCTTAATATATAATAGCAGATCTTAATACCAGAAAATATCAAATAATACAATGCTGATCTTTTTATAAAAGATTATTCGAGGACATCTTTCACTTTACTCTTCATGTTAGATCATTCTAATGTTGCAAAGTATGTCCTGTTGTGACAATATATTCTGAATTGAATAACATTTTCAATTAAGAAATCAGTCATTCTAGAAACTGTAAAGCAGATTTTTTTCACGTCTATGTTTTCTTCACTGTAGAATATTATCCTCCATTAACGGAAAAGTATACTTTAAATTCAGATTCAGTTATGCTCAAGTACCATATAACCTTGTATAGTTTATTGTCACCTGTATCAAACTTAACTCATTCATGTTTTCTTAGTGCTCTTTCATTGATGGTTATGTAGTTGACAGGTAATCACTGTCCCAATGACACTGACTTGACAGCGGCATTCTGTCGTTGTTCACCAAAAGGCAAATTCAGAATATAGAGCACTTTTGTGCCTAAAATGTTGCCTTATTTTAAATGAGATGTTTCTTGTTTGTCATGAAATTCAGTTTTCTTTTTTAAAAAGCATCCACATAGAATTTTGTCACATCAGGAATTCTAACCATTTATAAGAATATTTTTCTTATTTCAGTCTGTAAGGATCTGCTGGCTGGCACTACTTTCTGTTTTCACTTTTGTTTCTGTTTAGTTTGCATTTATGTGGTGCTGATTACTGCATTTTGTTTTTATGTTTATAAAGTACATAGTGGTAAACATTTTTGTTAGAACAAACAGAACTTTTAAATTTGTTGGAATTTCTCATACTAGAAAAATTTTAAATTAATTTAGGGCTCTGATTATACATTATTTCCTTATATTTGACTTTTAAGCATGAAACAATGCTGGAAAAACTAAGTTGCATTTAGTATTTTAAATTGTAATTAGCATTTGTAATTTCATCGAATAAAGCATTTGTGGCCTAATAAGTTAGAGCACTTTGTCTTTTATTTGTAGGATAAAACTCTTTATTACTGACATTCTTGTTTAATGTCATCTTTTTCAAGTAATGGGCTGCTTTTTAAACCATTATTGTTAAAATCCAAGTAGCAAATTTTTATATTTCAACTTACATTATGATAGTATATAGATTTGTGACACTAAGGTCAGTTTGTTTTCTAATATGATAGTACAAGTTATCCTTTATCTTCGATATTTTCATTGTTTTATGAACATTCAAACTATACTTCATTGGAAAAATACTGTATATGTATATTATAAATTGCAAATGCAATGCCTAACTTAATGGAGAAAAACAATTATATTTTTGCTTAATAAAATAAATTAGTAAATAAAGCAATAAGATCTTTTGTCCTAAATATTAACTTCAGTTGTACCCATTAAAATACTCTAAGGCTCTTAATTTCTAGGGTATAAGCTACAAGCATTTTTTACTTTCCTGAGAACAACAAAAACTATAAATAAAGGGATTATGAATTATGAAAAATAATTGTCAGACCATATCAATAATAGTAACTTTTGTAAAAATAAGTAAAGCATCTACCATATTGAATTATGCATTTGACATTTTCGAGGAGCAGATGACCAATCCCAAACCTGAGGTTCAAGGTGGGGGAAAGTGGGACTATTTACTGAGAAAATGTGATTTTTGAGAATTAGATATTAGCAAAAATTTTATTACATAAGTACAAATTAACTGAAAATATAAATTAGGTTTTCTATCTTTAAAATTTATTACAATTTCGATTATCAGGAATAGGGCTCTAAATTAACTTTTTAAAATTCCTTGATATTATTGACTCTTAAGGTTCTTCTTACAGCTATCCTGTATTATGAATTAGTCTCTCTTTACTGTAATATCATTTTGTTTAGGTGTACCAAAATGTTTTAAGGGCAAAATCTATGAAAAAGATTTAAGTGTTGTACATAGTTTTAGAGCTGTTTATTCCACATTACTTAAATAATTATCTTCTATGTATTCTCAGACCTTATTTAGTGCATCTTTGAGAAGCATGGACTTAATTCTGCTTTGCTAAATAGAATAAGTTAGTGGCAGAGTGGTGATTTCCAAAGAAAGTTTTATATAAAAAAATTCTTGATCATTTCAAACAAGATATTAAGTCAGTTCCAAGATAAAGTTGTAATGAAATCCCAAATCTTAAAAAATATAAATTAGAAATCTGTGGGCTGGAAGCAGTACTTAACTGCAGACTTCACTGTGATTTGATCTTATATTTAAATTGTATTCTGGTCTGACAGCATATGCAAATTGTCATGTGCAGTTAAGTCAAGAAAATTTAGTAAACATTGGTATAAATACAAAACCTTTCTAAACTATTTTTCATAGCCATCAAAAACTAACTAATAGTCAGATCAAAGATGTAAATGAGGCTTGACAATGAAATGAATTCCAGCTGCATATATCCCATGTAAGCTAGTCTGCTAGTATGTACACATAAGCTATTGAGAGTTTTCTAATGCTCAACATACTTGGCTATGTTGAGTGATGTAATAGAGAGGAATAAAATTAGTAGATTTAATCCTGTGACTAATAATATTACTGAGAAACAATCAAATAAAGCAGTTCATTGGTAGTAGTGCTTTTTAGATTTTTTTATTCAGTTAGAGTCGACATTCAATATTATTTTATATTTGTTTCAGGTGTATAGCATAAAAGACATATAGGGTAATAGTACTTTTGATTGAAACTTTATAGGAAATGACTTCAGAAACTGTCTAAATGTAAGCTCAGATACTTGATTAGTGTGGAATAAAATATTTTTCAGGAATATATATAATTGCTAAACCGTTACACACAAAGAAATTCAATGGTTATAGCATCACTTCTTTACCTGGTTAAGACAAAGTGAATTTGTCACTTCATACTTTGGACTTTTTGATTTTTTAAAATAATTTTCCTTAGTTATGGGCGAGAAGATAGAAGAAAATAAAAATTTCTCCTTTTAGTGCTACAACCTAGATCTACTGTAGATATGACGAGGATGTGATTTTTTTTTCATACAAGGGAAAAAGAGAAAAAGGGCAAACATCGTTTTAGTCTAGATTTTGTTTTACTTTTTTAGGGAATACGAAATGACAGTTTTGGAGTAATTTTTGCCGTTCAAGCTAGAAAGTTTAAGAGAATGATTAGAGTTTATCATTTAAAAATTTTAAACTTTTATTAGGTTCTCATCAAAGTGTTTTCAAAGCACCAAAAGGATAAATTCAAGACTCAGGCTTGATTAAAAATTTGCATATATTGAGGTTCATACTTGAGCCATGAGCCTTATAAATTGTGATGAATCAACCCGAATGTGCTGCCATGTTTAAGAACTATCAATCTAGGTTTATTTCTTTTGTTTGTTTCCACTTTCTAGCTCCAGTAAGATGACCTTGGTAAAAGGAATGGGTAGTTTTACAATCAGTTTGTTCTTCTATATTAAAATAAGCACCTAGCAATTCAATGAAAATTGCTAAAACATTCTTTAAAGGGAGCAAATTTTTTCAGTTCAAAAACAAATTGCTTGATTTTAATCAGTAGAACATGGCTTAGGCAAGGTTGGGCAAATCCTCTAACATCTGGACATTTTTTCCCATAAAATAAAGTAGCAGGACCAGGTAGTGACTTCCAATCACTTTTCTATACCCTGTCCTATAGAAGCGTGATTTGTTTCTCCAATTTAAAAACCTTCAGTAATTTTTTCTGCTATATATGGCATTACATTCTGGTTTTGCATTATAGTATTATACTCGTTTTAAACATCTAATTTTTATGTCCATATTGGTTTGCTGGCAATATTTGGTATCTCTGGAGCATTTATCTCAGTGCTTTGATCGGTGATGGATATTAAACAAGCCCTTTAATCAAACATCAGATTCTAGCTCTTTTTTTAATTCTATTATTAAATTTTTTGCCTTAGTTTAAAATGAAAACTTTCCAATTAAAATTTTATATTGGGGCTTGGAGAAAATGTGAAAATAGAACATATTACATAATCTGTATAATATGGATTTATTTAGTAGTTCACATATATCCAATTTATCCTCATAAGGTAGGTATGCATGCTATCACAGATCCCTGGAGAATGTAGTTGACAGAGTATACGTTGTCACCGTAACACTCAGTTTTGTTTATGTTTGCAAGACCTGGTAGGGTTTCTTTGCTAATTGAAATGTGATCTTAAACTTGATAGTGAAAATTTCAAAGGCCAGGAACTCATAAATAAACAGAAACATGCAATTTTATGTTACTGTGTTTCTGGAGACTCAACCATGTAAAATTAGGATGAGAAGCACAATGCTAAGTTTTAGGCTATCATTATTCACCTATCTATATAGTATGTAAGACTTTTATGATGCATACTGTATTAAGCGGCTCTAACTTTTTTTAATCAAAAAAATTTTAATCTAGTGTCTTCAGGTTTTGAGGTGCTATTTTTAATAATAATTTGGAGCTTTAGTTTTATATGTCAGAAAACCAAGATAATGCCCTTGAATTTTTTAGCAGAACACTTAACGTGGTATGTCATATTTTTATTGTACTTAAGACTTTTTATCATAATATAGTTTAGATACATATTTGAATAATTTAGATGTATAGATGTGCGTATATTATATGATAATATTAATGAAGTCTGTTTTTCTTTGTTCAAAGATGAAACCATAATTTCTCCCCTAAATGTGAAAGCTACCTGGATCTATACCCTCAATCCTTGCAGTCTATCTTCTCTTCTCCTACCTAACTCCCAACACTTAAATAATACTTAGTGGAGTTCCATTAATATGGTTCATGTCATTTTAAATACTTGAATTCTTTAAATTAAAGCACGTTATTAAGTGGCATTTAGCAATTTTAACAATGTCCAGCATCAAACATTTTAGGAAAGGAAAGAACAGTAACACATCCAGTGGAAACTGATGGCATTTCAGGAGGCAGAAGGTAATTATTAAAATTAGAATGTTTTAAGTTTGAATAAGATTTGGTGTTGACCAGCCTTGGTGCCCTGGAGCCTGAAGCAAATAATGCCCAGGGTGCTCATGAAACCTGGCCTGGAGAGATGGATCAGGGCATTAACCAGTCTGATGCTTTCCCACACTGACCTAGGCTTGTGATTGGGGAAGATAGCACCAGAATCAATTTTAGGGTACAGAAAGAGGAACCTATGAGCACCGTGTCAGAGAGATCTCTTTTTATACTTATTCTACTACCAGTTCAGCAGTAAAGGTACTTGTAAAGGTAAAGGAATTCCTATAAAACCTGTTTGTTGCCATACAGTTGAGGCTTCCAAATAGCTTAGAAGTAACTAGAGTATTAATTAGATGGGATCTTTATTATAATGCTTAGCCAGTAGAGCAGACTTTTTTCATTCAAATAGCTTCACTTTTAATAAAAGACTGTATCCTGTCAGATTAATAACATACCCTTCTCTTATAGTAAATTATTATTTTAATTAAACCCCTTATGGCTATATTTATGGCTACTTGGTAAAAGATGATTTTAGTATAATTGGTACTACTTGTTTGAAATCTTTCTGTTGTTGCTTGTTCCTTTTTCAACTATCACTTATTCAAGCTCTTTACTGTAAAGTAACACTCTGTTCTTTTTTGCCTAAATGAAACAAATTGAAATTTGTGAGTGGATATTTATTCCATTATGTGGAAAAGAACATATCCCCTTTAAAAGCAAGTATTCCTTTAGAAATTTTGACTGATTAAAAGAGGGCAAAAACCTGGTAACTATAAGAGCCTCTTGATTTAAGAGGTTGGTGTTAAAGGCATTTTATCAAGATTACCATTTTATTTCTAATATGAAAAAAATTGTAATTTAGATGTAATTTTAAGCTAACAAACATTGAAATATTTATTTATATACATTTGCAGAAATGTTACCTAAATTTACTGAAGTTAAACAGAATGATTCTCCTTCTAAAGAGAAAGTAAAGGTAAGTTATCCTTCATTTTACATTAGAATATAAAAACTATGTTATAACTCACTGGTATAGTAGTAGATTTATGCACAGTAAGGTGGAATTTCTCAAAAAAAGGTAGAAAAGGAATGATAGTTAGGGTTTCTGAAGATAAAGCTTATAATTACCAGCTATTTTAGCACATCTATGTTATGTGGATGATATGCTTTGAAAAGGATACAAGTGATTTTATTTTATCTTTTTTCTAATCCGGATTATCATCCTCCTAAAACTTTTAATCCTTTGTACCTATCCCAAATACAGAATTACAAGCATATGCCTTTATTAAATTACAAACTTATTTAACAACACTTAACTAGGTTAGGAGAATACAACATAAATGACACTGTCTTGAGGAGCTCATAAGAGATTGTATGATTATTGCTATAATCTATATTCATAATTTATTGAGAAAATGAAGAAGGAATATATATATGCTTAAAATGGGGTTTAAATACAGGAAAAGGGAAGAAATGGTTTGTATACTGACATATCAATGAGTATGTTGTTAGTATATTGACTTACAGGTGGTAAGTATTCTAAAGAGAGGCAAAAAGGCACAGGAGGTGGTATGTTCAGGGAAATAGGCAGCAGACCGTATTTGTGAGGGATTAGTTGGCTTGAGAGATATAATAGGGAGAGCTTTGAACATGTAGGTAAGGGATTAATAATATTTAATTTGATAGGCAGTAGTGAGCTCAAAGGCTTTTGAGTAGGAGAAAGATACAGATCGCCTACCTTGCCATAGGTACTAGCAGAATCAGAAAGTTATATCAAGTTATAAATGAACTTTGGAAGCATTCTCAATACATGGCATGTAGAATGCTACCTTTATCTATTTGTGGCCAGAATATTTTCAGTGTCACTCAGTGAAGAACAAAATGCCCATTTATGATATAAGAGGAATATATTTATAGGATCATGAATATATATATATATATATGTGTGTGTGTGTGTTTGTATGTTTCAGAAAGTGATTGTTTTGCTGATTTAAACCTCAGCATTTGACTTCAAGCTTTGGGCTTGGGTCTACATTATTTTGGGGATGAATATTCTGATGGCATGACTCTTTTCAAGTTATAGGTATTCAAATATTTGCCTTATCTACTCACTACTCTAACCCCTTTATTAGAAGAAAAAGACTATCTTATACTACTACAACTCAAAGCTTAGTAGATGAGGTACCTGGGCTTTGATACCATAACTTAGCTTGTCACTGAATAGATGTGAGATTTTAGGCAGGTTGCTTTCATTATATTTAAGTCCTATAACTGTAAATGAGGATAATGATAGGATTATTGTAAGAATTAAAGAACTTTAAAAGGCTTACCCTGGTGCCTTGCATATTGTAAACATTAAATAAGCGTTAGCTATTATAATAGAACTTTTACCTAATAGTTACCTGAGTAATGAATCAGAAGTTGTCGACCATCATGTGATTTTTAAAACCCCTGCTCCCAGATTATATCTGTAATTCAGTAAGGAAAAGGAAGCGAAAGTGGATTTGTTTCTTGATTTGGTACAAGTCTGTGTGTACTGGTAACTAAGATCGTAAGCTTTGACTACTTCTACTTAGAAGCTATATGATTGCCAAGGCATTTAATCTCTCTAAACCTTAGTTTTCTCACTTATAAGATAGGAATAATTATACCCTATAAGTTCGTGTGTCTTAAATAATATCATTTTCAAAGATAATATTAAATTATATCTTCTTGTGTTTCTATTTTCTTAGTTATATTTCTTGTGTGGTTAAAACTCTGAAAGGTAATTTCATTTAACTTTGTCTTAACAGACACAGTCTTCTATGCAAGATACACTCTCTTGTTCTGCTACCCTTGTTCATCAGACTACCCATTCAAGTCGAACACCACCAAATCACCACCAATTAGCATTTAATTACCAAGAATTAGAACATTTACACAGTGTGAAAAACATTTCACCTTCACAAATCCTGCCTCCCTCAGGTAAGAAATCAATGAGTAAATGACTGCAGTTGAGAAACTGACTTCTAAGTCTGTATACGAAAATGCTAAAGTCATCTAAATTGTTATGTATCTGAGATACTGAAAATCATAACTAGTAAATTCCAGGTGAGAAATAATCACTGAAGCACATTGTTAGATTATCTGCTTTATACCCGAAAGTACTCTTTTCATTTGAATGAAAAATTATTTCTACAGTTCACATGCATTTTACTTTCATATACATTATATACATTGGCATGTGGGCCATATATTAAAATCTATCATTGCAAGAGCCCATACTATCAAGTTCTGAGCAGACTTGGGAAATGTTCAGATTTCCATGATGCCCATGTCTATATGGGTTGGAAAGATAGGATGGAATAAGGACAAGATATTTAGAGATTCCATAGATAGAAAAATGAAGTTATATACATTAGAAATAGTTTACAGTTAAGGAAACTTGGGCTAGAAATATACCCATCCCTCAATTTACACGGATTATCTGTTCCACGCATCTTTTTTTACACTGAAGAAAACCGTGTAAAAGAGTCCACCACTACGAAAAAAAAAATGCTAAAGAATAGAGAAGATGATAAAATAGAAGTCTAGAAAGAGAAGTTTTAGAAGAAAATCATTGAGAGTATCACATACTACAAAACATTAAAGTAGATGAAGAATGAGGAGAGAGAATTAAAATTGGCCATGTGAGATTTTTTGCTTTTGCAAAAAGCTTTTTTAACGGCCATTGTAATTGTGGCAGAAGCCAGATTGTTGTAAACTGAGAAGTAATGGAATCTGAATATAAACCAATCTTTCACGAAAGTTTGTTGGTGAAAAGGATAGGATGAGAAAATGACTGTGGCTTTTTTAACACTAAGATTGTGTGTGTGGTGAGGGGGATGTAAAACTGGTAGAACTTGTTTTGAGTTTTTGAATTGGAGAGATTTGAACGTGTTTGGAGGTTGATCAGAAAGAACAAGGTTAGAGAACAGTTTGTTTTCATTATAGTGAGTTCATAAAAGAATGGTAGGGATAGCCATGAAGAAGAACAAAGACAATGAAAAAAATGGAAAAAATGTAGTCAAAGTGGTGTTCTGTTTAAGAAGACAGCTTATCTATGAAAAGTCAGGCTTTAAATATATGTCTTCAGTCGTGATCAGTTTATTGTATTTCTTCCATTTCTGTTTATATTATTATGAGTAACATAATGTGTAAAGAGAAAGTTTAGAGTGGCTGGCTTCTCTACTGCATAACCAATTTTTTCAGAAGCAAAGTAGTTTGCATTTGCCAACTGTAGATGGCACTATGCCCAAGGGAAACTGTAAATGTGTATAAGCTATAAAATGTATATAGAATTTTACTTTCCTGGAGTTTAATCTTGATGAAAATAAATTTATTTTGGTTAAAGCTTTAAACAAAAATTTAAAAATTGTTTACTGAAGTCTTCTTACTGAAAAAAACTTAACAAAATATTAAAGTAAAAGATTTTAAAAATTGAATTTTTAAGTGTTACCAGTTGTCTTCAAAATCTCTGTCATTATCTCTACATAAACTAAAAGATGTCTAATTTTTTTCCTTAAAATAAGTTGAAGTTTTTAGCCACAAAGGATTACTACCTTATCCTTGTAAGTTACTCTTTATCCAGCTCATAACAAAATCTTCACTTGATTGTATTAAGAATTTTGTTTAAAACAAATACTTGTGCTGTCATATAAATGTGAATTACCATGGCAAGTGAAAAGGTAAATCAAGAAGTTTGTCATATAGTAGGAGAAATAAATGACTGGAATATAAACTAAAATTAATATGCCGTAAAAGAAGCAAAAATGAAATTTAAGGAGGTGAGGAAGACAGTTACCTGATCTCTTTGGCAGATGTGTATTTTACTGAGTAAGTATCATTCGAATGGGATGCTGGAAAGAAAAATAAGACTTATCTGTGTATATCCAGGATAGGAAGGCATTTTGTATGGTGGAAACAACATGAATGAAGGTATTTAGGCAACCAGTAATTCAATGTGATTAAAGCTTTGGTTGAATAAACAGGACTACAAGGAAATAAATTTAGAAAAGTAGACCATGTTCAGGTCATAAAGAACCTTGATATCTAGAGATTTTTGACATAATGGTAATGATATAGTTGGTAGAGAGCCAGTAAAGTTCTTTTGAACAAAGAACATGCTTCACGGTAATTAATCTGCCAATATTTTGTAGGTCAGTTGAATGAATGGGGCATAGAGACCAGAGAAGGTGAAAACTAACTGGGCTGGTGCAGTAGTAGGAAGAAAAAATGAAATAAAATGATGGAAGGAAAGAAAAGGGGAAGTTGAAAGAATCACAAGGGTAGAATGAGCAGTCCTGCAAAAGATGAATATGTTAAGTTTCAATAACAAAGGAATATAGCTGTGGTGGCTCAGGATACTAACTGGGTACTGGTCCAGGTTGATAGACCTGGAACACAGATATCTGAGGAAAGATGAGTTTTGTAGTGTTTTAAGGTACCAGAGAGTCATCCACATGAACTTTTTCTGAGAGTTGGACTCTTGACTTACTTTTATGCTCCTGTGACACTGTTCTCTTGACCATCCCATTCTTGAATGTTCCTTGTAGATGCTTCTATTTACCTACCTTTAAATGTTAATAATACTCTAAGCCACATCATTAAGCATCAAATCTTTTTACTTTACTCCAGGGCTTTCCAGCCATGTTACAAAGCATAGGTTTAGTAAGCCAGTGATTCTCTCACCTCTCATAGCAATAGGCGTGGAGGCAACTTCCTATTTACTCAGGTGTGCCATACATTAATTATTTTCTACTTATTATGACATGTAAAATGTTGGAAAGCAGTGATCTATGTATTCTTCCTGGGTGATCTCCTTGGTGTCTATGACTTCTAGTCTCATTTTTACAACTCAAGCATCTAAGCCCTAGGTATGTTTATACAACTCTACTAAACATCTATTCTTAAACATTACATAGACATATCAAACACAGCATGTCAAAACTGAATTTGTACTTTTTAATTCCTATATTTAAATTTTTCCTCTTTAATTCTTGATAATGGCACTGCCAGCACTTACCAATTTAGAGTCTGCAAACTGAGTATTTTGGGTTTACTTTTCTTGACATACATACCCTTTCTACTTAAATAATATCTGGCCACAAGCAGAGAAGGGATGTAGTTCTGTACTTATAGCTTTTCTCCCTGTTTTTCCATTCCTCGTTGAACTGAGAAAACATAGGTTCATTGGGCCATGTAGAAACATACAAATTTAAACACTGTTTTTTCATTCATACATCCTTTGACAATATTTTGTCT